CTGTCTTCATTTATGTTGGAAGTGATAGCAGAGCTGTACGTTTGAATTTTTCCAGAAATCTCTCACTCAGAACATGCAATATCATGCTTAGGTAACTAGTGTGGCGAGACGAGGTTGGGATATAAAGTAAATACTCTTCAGTTTTAAAGAACGACAACGCCACCCTGGGAATTTCACCCAGAGAATACTGGAAAAAACGGTAAATCACCAAAAAGGCACTTAGGTTCGCTATACTCAATCCAGAGACGAGGTTCAATAATAAACAAATTGACAATTTATTGGTAATTATTTAAAACACCGAATAAAAGCATAATCATAAATATTCAAGTACAAATATGCTTAAAAAGGTATTCAGAGCTGAGGCTTACCAGTGGAGGGGCAGGGATGCCACACACAACTAAAGAAAGAAAACACACCAAAACACAAGTGCAACAGACTATCACACACACTCACACTAATAAACTAGACAAGGCAGGTGTGTACACTCAAGGGATCCCACCACCAAGGCACCCTAGTCTCCTCCACGTCGACACTCCGCATCTGAATAAAAGAAACAAAGAAAATGTTAATATATTACAACAAACTAATGTGTAGCACCAGGGGATAACCCAACTGCAGGACCACACTGGTGATCTACAGCTAGAGAAAGGGCCTCCCACCAGTGGTGTAACAGAAAATCCAAACTACAAATCAAAAAGCAATAAAACAACATACAATCTGGATAAAACTCTAAAATCTGGAGCAAACGGAATCGCCGTACTGCTCCAACTTGCCGCCACACGACGAAAAGTTAACAGTCAATCAATATGCACGCCAGCTGACTCAGATAACCGGCATGCATATGGCCGTTGTCCACGCCGACGTCCACTGTAAAAGCTGACAGCAGCAGGGAGAGAATTCTCACAACGGGAACAGACGGTAAAAACACAGCAAGGCAAAACAGCAGCACTTCAGTTCGCGTAGCTTGGCGCAAAACTAAGGCCCACACTTCCTGCGAAACATAATAAATAATTACTATAAAAGAACAATAGAAGGCAGAGAGCGTAACAAAAGTTGATTATGTACCAAGTAAGCCGGGTCATAGAACGTAAGCAGAATAGCTCAGAGGAGGCTTATATAGCTACGACCAGCCGCGATGGAGGCTTCAGAAGAATAACCCGCAAATGATCTCCACCACACCGAGGGGAAGTCAGGTGACCAAAAAGGAGATCACAGGCAAGCGACGCAGAGACACTCAAATGGCCACTATTTATACCAGCGCCCCCTAATGGGCCAGGCTGAAAGTGGGTTGGACCGAAGGATAACATTCATCCTGCCACACTAGCAAAACTAGCGAGCTAACTTCCGCTAGCTTCCTGCTAACTTCTAACTCCGTTAAATGTAATAACTTTTGTTTTCATGGATGCCTGGAAGTTAAACTTCATAGTTTCACCTGGTTAAGCAGCAATGCTGATCATTTTATTAAAGATGAAAGAATTTAAACAGTTTTTAACTCTCAGTGATGCTGCAGTGTTCGTTTGACCTGAAGAATTCGGAGTTTAGGACCCAGATTACTCCCAGATTTAAGAGCATCTTAGTCCGACAAATACGATAATAACGACGGCCGCTTGCATGTTCTGCAAAAAAATGTGCTTTGCCATGTATCTGACTGACAAACACCAAACCAGTTCCACATCACTGAAGTTGCACCATTTTTACAAACCAATTCTGGTTCATCTGTTTCACTCAACAATCGGCCATGTGTGTATGAAAACAAAGGCACTGCGCATGCGCGTTTTACTCATATTCTATCGCGATATTTCATTTTCCTATCGTTGCCTAACATTATATTGGTATTACCGTGAACGGTATAATATGGCCCAGCCCTAGTTGGCAGCTATCAGCGAATAGTTATCAGCTATTTTGAAACAAAAAAAGACTTTTTATCCATAACAAAAACTCCATAACAGCAAATGAACTGTGAAGCAGAAAATACAAATGCTATTTATAGTCTCCACACAACAATGATAAGAAAAATAAACTGTGCCAATATGGCATGTTTGGTATTACAGGGATACACATGTTAATGTGATCTCTGGTCTCCCACTCAGAGACACAGGTCTCCGAGTATCCAGCATTCAGACGGCTACCTGAGGACACTCATGTGAGAGAAAATCTGCTCACACAGACATGTAGAGCCAAGTACTGTCAATAAGACCTCTGTATTGTTCTGAAGACAGTTAAACTAGTCAGGTAGTGATGTCCAGCAGGTGAAAATGCAAGCTCCATGAACATGCACAGCTATGGATTCCAGCTGCGTTCGTAGTTCTCCAACCCCACAGAGTCGAACTTTCCAGTTCGATCAGCTGCATTTCGATGTCCTCTGTGTCCAGATGGTGAGACAAATCCAGCTGCTCATTAAAGCTTTCTGGTTTGATCAGTCTTGAGTCTACAGATGTATCCGTGTATTTCCGTGGTGCTGATGCTGCGCTGAGCGGACAGCTCCTGAAGCATTTGAAGTGTCGCAATGTGGAAATTTCAATATCGCTTGAAAACAATGCCAGCTAGCGCAACGTCCCTCTGGGCTAAGGTAGGGTAAGCTAAGTTGTTTTTAGCCAATTACAAGCTGAATGTGGTTGTTGGGGTTGTTAGCTAAGATACCATCATTAAGAAGTGGCACAACTAATGTGTCTATGCGAGCTAATTTGCGATGTGCACCTCATTTATTGGTTAATGCACATTTTCAGATTAATTCACTGCGTGTTGTGCCATCAGTTAACCCTTCGCATGCCAGCTATGGCATGCATGCCCAGGGTTGCAGACCCCTGATGTAGAGAGTAAAGGGACTTTTGCAAGACTTCTTTTCATCAATTTTTCTTCTGCTTTTAATGCAATACAGCCCCATATTTTAATTAAAATACTTTTAGAACAGTTTGAAATCAAGAAAAAGCTGGTGGGCTGGATTCTAGATTAAATGGGGTTCTGTCTGAGTGTTCTCCTCCACAGGTTCTCCTCAAGGGTGTGTCTTATCGCCCTTATTATTCATTCTTTATCCAGTCTTTAAGTGATGACGTGATAAATCCTGCTTCTGGGCCCAAAGTAGTCAGCATAGGCTGTTGCATGTGTTTTTAACATGTTTTAATGCTTTGTATCTTGTTCTATTTAATTTCAACAAGCCCCTAAAAACAGTCAGTGATCACTGTCGGCTTCTCTTGGTTTTCATTACCTCTAATCATTTTAAAGCTCAGTTTTTAAACCCTTACAGCCCATACAGCAGTATATTAATGACTAACCTCGTATTGTGGATGGATTTTCTCGGTTGTTCTCCTGACTGACGTTTGGTCCGTTTACAGCATCCTGCCATGAGATTCCATTTGCCCCTATCCATTGAAAACTCTCACATTAACTTTTATTGAGTGGAAAAAAGTCCTCCACCAGCCTGTCCAAAAATTCACATCCCAGGGCTTTTTTCTGGCATCCCAGACGTTCAGGCTGTCGACAGACAGCAACGAGACTGCTCATTACATGCAAAGGCTACATCCTAATATGAAAAATTATTTTTATCAGCGCACATACAAGCAATAGCCATGTGACTTTGCACAAATTACAGTTTTCAAAGAATCAACTCTGACAGAAACATCAGGACTCTTCGTAGTGTGACAGGTGAGACCTGAGTCTGGGAACCGGCCCTGGTATATAGGGCTGGGTTTTCCCCTTTCATATGCACAGGTGCAGGTAATTAGTTGATCTTTTGTGTGAATCTGGAGCTGTGTGAATGCCTGGTCTAAGCCATACGATTTGGCCTTTTAACTTTTCTAACACAGCTTAATGTGGATGGCATAGCCTTCTATTGGAGATGTAGGTCACAGAAAACGTTCTGCTCAAGTTTTGGTAAAGTTTTCTTTGCAAGCTCCCTTGACGTCAATGTTTAAAGTTATTTTTACCCCTTTAGGAAAAAAGACTGTTTCATGCCTGTAGGGAAACTTGTAGTGGACTCTGCCCACTCTTGCCAATACTTATTAAAATGTGACCCTAACCTAGAGACAGATGGCCAAGCTGCTACTTTGCTGGGGTGGATTTCTGACTGCTGGGCTGAGGTCCTTATACGCCTATGGCCATTGTAATTTGTTTTAAAACTGGTTTAACTTGACAGCAAAGAGCTGAGGACTATTCTTATTTTTGTGGTTGCTTAGTTTGTTTATTTATTGCTATTTTATTGTATTAGAAAGCACCAATTAATGCATAGATCGTGTTTTAGAGTGATTTAATCACTTCTTATCATTGCAGACAGTGAACGTGCTGCATGGAAATTTAGATTTTTCTCATTGCTTTTTGCATGTACCGTGGTGAGCTTGAGTGGTGATGGGCATTGAACGCACAGTGATCTACACTTGAATCTAAACGAGCAAAAATATACACAAGAAAATTGTCCAATGTGACACATGGTGTTGGGCATTAATATAGTCCCTGCAGTGCTTATCCTGTCTTCTTCATACTATCATAAAATTTTCTAGTTTTTAATGTATCTAATAAAGTAGATCTTTGTTTATTGTTTATTAAATTGTAAATTGTTTGATTGGTGCTACTGTATAGAAAGATTTTGTATTAGCATTAAGCCTTGTGAACTGACTGTATGACTGGCTCAGTTCCTATTACAACAGCACCTCCCACAGGTCACACTAGAGTATAACAGTTTTAGTCAGGGAGGGGACCAGAGTAATGTCTCGGAACTAAAGAAATACCAAGTGGAAATGGACACAGGTAAAAGGAGAGCATACAAACTCTCTCAGAGGACCTGTATTTAAGTGTCATTGAAGAGATACGAACCAGGAACACTGTTGCTGTGAAGCAGCGTGCCAGGGTTCCTGGGTGTTCACCCACTGTTTTCAGTTGTTTCATGTTCCTCAAAAGAGGAGGGACTTTAATCATCAAGTAAGAAAGAATCTTAGAAGAGGGACAAAGTTATAACATTTGAGTTTGTTAGAAAGGTGTCAGGGGCTCATAAGCACTTCTAACTGATGATGGCAGAAACTGAACTCTGCTTTCCAAATCTCAACTCCTCCTGCAGTAGAGTAAAGCGTTCTCCCTCAGACTCAGTGCTTATTTATGTAATTCTAACCATCATTTCTCTTCTTACTGTGGCTCTAAACCTGCTGGTCATCATCTCCATCTCCCACTTCAAGTAGATACTTAATACATTTATAAGTCTAGCAGTTGTACAGGAGAAAATGACTGACATAAAATAAGTTAAACAGAACAACTTTTTGACAATGTTTTGATGTGGATGATCGGCTGGAATAATTGATGCTACAAATAATATATATTTTTCTATCTCTTATCTCTCCAGGCAGCTCCACACTCCTACAAACCACCTCCTCCTCTCCCTGGCAGTCTCTGATTTCTTTGTGGGTCTCAATATGTGCTTTCAAAGTATGCTCGTAGATGGTTGTTGGTATCTTGGTGACCTCATGTGTGTCTTGTATTATGTTTTCGACATAGTTGTTACTTCTGCCTCAGTAGGAACCATGGTGCTCATTTCAGTTGACCGTTATGTGGCCATTTGTGATCCTCTTCATTATCCCACCAAAGTCACTCCAAAAAGAGTTCAGACCTGTGTCTTAATGTGTTGGATTTGCTCGCTCCTAGTAGTCGGTGTGCTCTTGAAGGATAACCTGGATAAACCAGGTAGATTTAATTCCTGCTTTGGAGAGTGTGTTATTTATGTTGACTTTGCAATACAAGTTACCGATCTTATTTTGACAATCCTCCTTCCCATTACTGTCATCGTAATTTTGTATGTAAGAGTATTTGCCGTGGCTGTGTTTCAGATTCGGGCCATGCAACCTCATGTTCCAGCTGTCACACAGAGGGGGAAAGTAAATCCAAAAAAATCTGAACTGAAAGCAGCTAGGACTCTTGGCATTGTTATTGTTGCATTTCTGATATGCCTATTCCCATATTACAGTGTAATACTCTCAGGCCAGGACACACTGCTTGATATTTTATCTGTTACCTTTTTTTTATGTTTGTTTTATTTTAATTCCTGTCTCAACCCTATCATCTATGCCTTTTTCTACCCATGGTTTAGAAAATCTGTTAAACTTATTGTTACATTTCAAATAGTCAAGTCTGGCTCCAGTGATGCCAGCATGCTGTGACTGAAATAAGCCCTTCAAGTCAAGCCAAATAAATAAAATAATTTCAAATTGCAAATATATATTATATTATATATAAACTGCAATAGAAAAGAAGAAGATTACTTCTTCTTTTCTATTGTTGGCAGCCAGTTAGCCTGTGGCCTCAAATACATCAAAATATTTGTTTTGGTTCCTTATAGCCTCTAAAATCTTAAAATTGCAAAATAAGTTAAAAGCAAAAGCAAGTAAAAGCAAGTGCCCCAGATAGATAGATAGATAGATAGATAGATAGATAGATAGATAGATAGATAGATAGATAGATAAAATCTACAGAAAAATAATTACATCAATTATATATTGCATATACTTATTGGAGGTACTTGAGCAGCTTGACAACATTTTAAAATTTTACGCGGCGCAGTACTTTTTTGTTGCAGGTACTATTGTATAATATCAGAATGCCATGATGTCAGTTTCTGCTGTATATCCATCCTCTCTCAGTATTTAATCTCTTATAATCTTTGATTAATCATCCTGGGTCCTGTGGGAGCCATACGATGTTTCTTTCTGTACTATATTCTTGATATCAATATTTGTGAATCCATTGTAATGCACTTGCAATTATTTGTGACATGCTCTGAAAGTCTTCTCTAAATAAATAAAATTGCTGCATTGTTCTTGAAAGAAAAAAAATAGCATAGGTTTATAAGGAAACACAACGGGCTACCGCGATATCTTTATTTACATAATAATTGTGATAGTGAGCAATAGAATGCATACTGTCATCAAGTGTTGACATATTCAACTAATTTATTTGTTTGTATGATATGGATTTGACTATTTAGAGATAAAAATGATTGGTTATTATAAATATATTATGCTTATGTAAGGCTCTAGACTAACTTTTTGCCACGGTTACACTGGTCAATCGCAACGCTCAACACCGCAGTTTTACATGTGCACTTTTTGGGGGGAAAATTGCGGTCTATATAGACAATATTCATTTGTAAACAATTAATTAACAAACTTGTCAACAACGTTATTTATTTGGAGCACATTTCTACAAAAAAGATAAGTTACTGTAAAAGTGCTTGTGCTTAAAGTGCTTTGGCACTCTTTGGCAACATTGTAGACAATGTTAAACTTAATCATCACATTGGCCTCCTCTGACAACCTGTTTGCGGCTGCCTGCCGCTGAAAGGCAGTGGCGAGAGGGTACTCTTGGGCAGTGGATTTATCACAGCATATAATGTGTTTTCTGGATACACTGTGATTTTTCAGTGTTCAGAGACTGATGGCTCCGTGTCAGAGCACTGTCTACGGATCAGGCCTTAACAAAAATTGTATCAATAGTTCTTTTCATCTTTTCTTTTTACCCACAGCTGCATCCACTCTGTCGGGCCTATGCTGCTCACTAGGGCTGGGTATCATCACTGATTTCTATAATCCATTCGATTCCAATTCACAAGGTCCCAATTCGATTCAATTTTGCCTGAGATAGTCAGAAATTTATATTTCTGATCATTTATCAGTACTGATACTATGAGACTTTATCATAGGTGTAACATCACAACAGATGCCTTGTGTCAAAGTAACTGAGAATAAAACACAGAAAAACATGAAGGCGCTTTTCCTGGCCTGGCTTTTTAAAGCAGATAACCTTAAAAATATTCTGCAATTTTGCATAATCTTAAAAAGTTTAAATTTCTTCAGTATTGAACAGCAGAAATTAGGCTTTCTTGTCCAAGGACATTTAAGTAAGAAAAAAAACCACAGTGGCCGACAGCGCTGTAAACAACGGTAGACTGGTGGGTAATAATGAGTAAATGAATAATGCAGAAAACAGAGATTTGAGATGGGAAACTGTTCTTGAAGTACACACAGTGAGCTGTGCATGAAGTTTGATTTTTATCGTGGTGGAAGCAAAACAGCAAACGTCAGAGGGAATTAATGACCGCGGTCAAGTGAGCCGTCATTTGTGAGCCATGGTCAAGCAAGCCGCTTCTTATCCACCGCATGAATTTTCTTGCGCTTCTACACCAATATTTACGGTAGCGCCTTTTCTCGTTATTTCCCGATCGAAAGCCTAGACCCACGCACACGTGCGCGCATGCGAACAATCACACACGCACGCGCCCACACAAATTGCAATGGGATAGCCCAATACAGCCATCGGGACAGTTTGGTTGCATATTGAAATATTCATTAAAAATCATTCAATTCAATTCAATTCAATTCAATTTTATTTATATAGCGCCAAATCACAACAAAAGTCGCCTCAAGCCGCTTCATAGATACAGAGAAAAACCCAACAATCATATGACCCCCTATGAGCAAGCACTTTGGCGACAGTGGGAAGGAAAAACTCCCTTTTAACAGGAAGAAACCTCCGGCAGAACCAGGCTCAGGGAGGGGCGGCCATCTGCTGCGACCGGTTGGGGTGAGAGAAGGAAGACAGGATAAAAGACATGCTGTGGAAGAGAGACAGAGGTTAATAACAGATATGATTCAATGCAGAGAGGTCTGTTAATACATAGTGAGTGAGAAAGGTGACTGGAAAGGAAAAACTCAATGCATCATGGGAATCCCCCGGCAGCCTACGTCTATTGCAGCATAACTAAGGGAGGATTCAGGGTCACCTGGTCCAGCCCTAACTATATGCTTTAGCAAAAAGGAAAGTTTTAAGCCTAATCTTGAAAGTAGAGATAGTGTCTGTCTCCCGAATCCAAACTGGAAGCTGGTTCCACAGAAGAGGGGCCTGAAAACTGAAGGCTCTGCCTCCCATTCTACTTTTAAATACTCTAGGAACAACAAGTAGGCCTGCAGAGCGAGAGCGAAGTGCTCTAATAGGCTGATATGGTACTACAAGGTCATTAAGATAAGATCGGGCCTGATTATTTAAGACCTTGTATGTGAGGAGCAGGATTTTGAATTCAATTCTGGATTTAACAGGAAGCCAATGAAGGGAAGCCAAAACAGGAGAAATATGCTCTCTCTTTCTAGTCCCTGTCAGGACTCTTGCTGCAGCATTTTGGATTAACTGAAGGCTTTTCAGTGAGTTTTTTGGACATCCTGATAATAATGAATTACAGTAGTCCAGCCTGGAAGTAATAAATGCATGAACTAGTTTTTCAGCGTCACTCTGAGACAGGATATTTCTAATTTTAGAGATGTTGCACAAATGGAAGAAAGCAGTCTTACATATTTGTTTAATATGTGCTTTGAAGGACATGTCCTGGTCAAAAATGACTGCAAGGTTCCTCACAGTGTTACTGGAGGCCAAGGTAATGCCATCCAGAGTAAGAATCTGGTTAGATACCATATTTCTAAGATTTTCAGGGCCGAGTACAATAACCTCAGTTTGATCTGAATTAAGAAGCAGAAAGTTAGCGGCCATCCAGGTCTTTATGTTTTTAAGACATTCCTGCAGTTTAACTAATTGGTGTGTGTTATCTGGCTTCATGGACAGATAGAGCTGGGTGTCATCGGCATAGCAGTGAAAATGTATGCTATGTCTTCTAATGATACTGCCTAAGGGAAGCATGTATAATGTAAACAGAATTGGTCCTAGCACTGAACCCTGTGGAACTCCATAATTAACCTCAGTGTGTGAAGAGGACTCTCCATTTACATGCACAAACTGGAGTCTATTAGATAGATATGATACAAACCACTGCAGCACAGTACCTGTAATACCTACAGCATGTTCTAATCGCTCTAATAGGATATTATGGTCAACAGTATCGAATGCTGCACTAAGGTCTAGCAGGACAAGCACAGAGATGAGTCCACTGTCAGAGGCCATAAGAAGATCATTTGTAACCTTCACTAAAGCTGTTTCTGTGCTGTGATGAGCTCTGAAACCTGACTGAAACTCTTCAAATAAACCTCTGCAGATGATCTGTTAGTTGTTTGACAACTACTCTTTCAAGGATTTTTGATATGAAAGGAAGGTTGGAGATTGGCCTATAATTAGCTAAGACTGCTGGGTTTAACTACAGCCAGCTTGAAGGCCTGTGGTACATAGCTGATTATTAGAGATAGGTTGATCATATTTAAGATCGAAGAATTAATTAATGGCAGGACTTCTTTGAGCAGTTTTGTAGGAATGGGGTCTAAAAGACACGTTGATGATTTGGAGGAAGTAATTATTGAAGTTAACTCAGAAAGATCAATTGGAGAAAAAGAGTCTAACTTAACATCTAACTTAACTTAACTTTTTTTTTTTTTTTTTTTTTTTTTTTTTTTTTCTTGTGCGCATGCGCCAACCAGCGTGCAGCCTGTTACAGTCGCTCCTGCTTTTCTCTTAGTTTAGCTCTTTTTTCTTACGTATTCTTTTTTTTTTCTGACTTGTATTTTCCTCCGTTTTCTATCTCTTACTCAATCATGTGGATTGAGAGAGTTTTTGTTCTTCTGGTGGCCGTGGAACTGTTACTTTTATCATGGAACGGGACCGCGGCACATCTCCTACACGCACGGACTGTCTACTCCAGAGATCAGCTGATCGCCCTGATGCCGGCCGGCTCGCTGGCCAGGCCCGCAGAAGTGCCCGCAGAAGTACCAGCTGAAATTTGGAGGAAAACACATCGGGGATGCAGAGGTCAAGGACAGAAGAGAAGAAAAAAGGTGACGGTGAGACAGCGGAGGCTCGAAGCGAGGAGGAGGTTTAAACCGTGTCTGCCGTCTATCGTGATGGGAAATGTGCGATCGTTGGCAAGTAAAATCGACGAGCTCTCAGCACTGGTACGGAGTCAGAGGGAATACCGAGAGTGTAGCCTGATGTGTTTCACCGAATCATGGCTGCACCAGGTCATTCCCGATGAGAATGCTTCCGTGGAAGGCTTCCACACTGTTCGGGCGGACAGGGACAGCATCGCTAGCGGTAAGCGTAAAGGAGGTGGGCTTGCTGTTTTAGTTAACAACCGGTGGTGTAACCCTGCCAACATAACAATCAAAGAAAGGATTTGTTGCCCGGACACTGAACTGTGTGCTGTTGGACTCAGGCCGTATTATTTACCCAG